GGTCGCAAATGTTTCATTTTCGAAATAATAGCCAAAAATAAGTTTCAATGAATTGACTTTATATCAAAGTGAACCCAGCTTCCAGCAAAGATTTTCAATTAAATTTAGGGCAGGAATTGTTGGCGACATGCTTATTGTTCTACACATGCTTCCATCGTGTCTAAGATGACCTTCATATCGGCGATTCTGAAGAAGTCACTTGCCACGTATCCTTGAAGTTGTACCACTGAATACAAGAAGACAAATGTGGTTTATGCACGACAGAGCCCCAGCACACTTCTCCCGTCGCGTCAGAGACCATCTCAATGAACAGTACCCTCAGCGATGGATTGGACGTGGTGGCCCAGTAGCATGGTCACAGAGGTCACCGGACCTGATTCCATTGGACTTTTATCTGTGGGGTCATTTGAAGTCCGTCGTTTATGCAACACCCATAAACAATGATGGGAACGTGTGCAGATTTCATTCCAGATGATTCGAGGTAACCCTGGTGTGTACGAACGAATTCGTCAGTCTTGTGTACGTCGTGCTTGTGCATGTGTGGAGATTGAACAACATTTGAGCATCTGTTATAAAGAAACATCCCTGTCCTTAAACTTGGTAATAAAGGCATACATTGAAACTTAGTTTTGGCTATTATTTCGAAAAAGAACCATTTGTGAACCCATGTTCATAGGAACATTTTTTCTTATTTTTGATCCTGGAACACGGACAAGAAGTTTGTAAACATACTTCTGACTCACCCTGTATAATATTCATATCTATAGCCTTTGTATCGAGTTTGGATGAAAATGTAGTTTGGAACTGTACATCTTAATCGAAAGAACCCGAAATTCTCAGTAACCTTTTCCTTTGAGAAGTTATTTTTTAGTGCTAAATTAATGAACAACCAAGAATAAAAGAATGATCTTAGACAATTTGTCTTCGTCACTTCAGTTTCAATAGAATTTTTAGTTAATACTTCATTGGTTAGTGGGGTAATGTTACAATTTATATGTAATTTGTGTTTGACAGCAATGTGAAGGACATCAATTCAGTTCTTGAGGTGACCGTATATGATGAAGACAGGGATCACAAAGTAGAGTTCCTTGGAAAAGTGGCTATTCCATTACTGCGGATTCGTAATGGCGAAAAGAAGTGGTACTCCCTCAAAGATAAGAAGCTGCATGGAAGGGCAAAAGGCAGTTGTCCACAGATACTGCTGGAGATGACGGTGCTCTGGAATCCTGTAAGTGTTATCGTCATGCCAGTAGAGTCCTCATTAGTTTTACTATTTTCCTTCTAAAGAGTAGTTTCATACATGTTAGATTTGAGGTTTTGACAGTAGTGAGTCTGAAGATTGCTGTCTTTTGAGTTGTTGTGCGCGATGGTCTGCTAGATGTCCACCGACGTTTCAGATGTCATGCTGCCTCTGCCATCAGGGCGATGAATCATCAGGAAGTTGTTCTACGGATTTTTATCACCCTTAAAAATCCGTCGACCTCGGCTGGGTTTGAACCTTGGATCCAGTGGCGAGCACGCTAACCACTAGTCCACCGATGGCGACTAATGATTTCACAATTTTTGACTTTAAGTCATATCATTTCTTCACATTTTTAAATAAGTAATTTCAGTTGTAAAACTGAATTTTACAAAAAGTAAAAGAATATAGGTGTCGCAATTATGTAATGAAACAGCATACTAATATTTAAAATGTTCTTAATGTTTAAATGCATGCTTGAATTGCAATGGTTTCAGTCAACTCTGACAACCACAACAATGATGATAATGGCAACAGAAGCAGTAGTGCCACAATCAGAGTATTCTTGTTAAGTGTTCAGATATTCTAAGTTTCAGTCCAGGATTATGTAAAGTGATGAAGTCTGGAATATTGTTTGATTTCATTTTCTGTTACTGATCATCAAATGTCCTCATTTTCAGATTCGTGCCTCCATCAGGACACTGAACCCAAAAGAGGATAAATATATGCAAACTGAAGTGAAATTTAAACGACAGGTTTTTGTAAGAAATGTAATGAGGCTAAAAGCCATCATTATGTTTTTTATTGAGCTTGGAAAATTTATTCAGTAAGTAAATATTACATTTTATTTCTTCTTTTAAATAGTGAAGTTAATATTTTCAGATGGTACCTCAGAATTTACATATCATGAGCAACAAAGAATATAACAAATGGTTAATTGTATTTAGTTTTTCATTTTGTAGGCATTCCACTAGACTTTGTCGCATGTAGAAGATTGTCTGTACGTTGAAACATGTGAGAACTTCGGATTTAACTTAATTCAGCATGCAGTATTAATGGTGATCTTCATGTTTGTATGCATGAGAATTATTATCAATGTTCTATCGTGGATTGAAATTAATTTATCCCTTTAAAGATGCTGTCGGTGTGGCCCTATTCTTATTGGCTTTTTGGAGCATTTTAAATGACAGAATGCACCCAAATGGGCAAATTTAATTGTTCTGAATCTTGCATTTTGTACCTTTATTAACTGTCCATATTTTGATATCAGTGTCACATTGCAACAAAAAAATATTTTAAGATATATGAGCACAATAGTCATTTTTTAAATACATTATAGTTGTGGATAATTTACACATTTAAAATTTTGAAGGAATTTTGAACAAAAAAATTTAAAAGAATGTATTGAATGTAAATGTGTTCAGTAAGGGCATTGTGTTTCATCTGACTTCTGTCTTGTAAGGCTGTTCTAATTTCTTTAACAAAAGTTGGAAACAGTAGGCCTCTGTATTCTGGCATGTTTTTGCTTCCTGTAGCCAGTACATCTTGCATCAAAAACTCTTAGTCACGCCACATATGCTTTTGCTGGTGTTCGGAATTTTAGTTTCGCCGTTTGTAGAAGGCTCCTATACTTCATAAGAAATTCTTAGTAAAGAAGTTTGGAGATGGTCAAACACAAGGTGACTATCGAAAGTCTTGACATGTGTAAAATTATTTATAACGTTATACAAATTGTGCTTGAAATAATGTATGCATGAATTTGCCACCACATATTCGGTGCAAGCAGTCCTCTGGTCTAACAAACAGAACCTGTGCGTCCCTGCACCACACACATAAAGCTTGGCCAAAATATATTTGTTTTGTAAGCCTTTATTGTGATGTGGATTGAAAGAGCGTTAGGTATTGAAAAAATAATTGTGTTTGAATGACGTGTTTCCAAAGCCTCTACTTTTCTTATTACATAGAGTTCTTCTCTATTTGACATCAGAAGTAATGTTGTCATGCTCCTTGTCTAGGTAAAGTACAAGTTTATTCCATATTTTCTATTTTTGTGGGAGAAGGGTAGTACAACTGAAAAACTACATCATTCACATAAAAAAAATTTGGGTGGTGACTGATCTAAGAGTGAGTTGGAGATTCTTAAGGTAATCAAAAACCCGTATGATCTCCCATAGCTTGTCAATATCCATACTTGTCATGTCAGACAAATTTTTATTTTCTGTTTAGTGTTGAACTGGGAAAGTTGTAAATAATATATTGGAAAGGATTAAAAAAAACAATTGTGATCTTTTAAAAAGTACTGTCTAAATGTTTGCCTGGCATGGCTAGGAAATACAATTAAAACTCTCAGTCAAGATGTCAGGCCTCTGGGTTCAGATATGAACATTAAACATACTGAATACACGGCAGGATTGCTAACCTCTCTTCCACAAAGTCGGTAAAATATTTTTTTGAGGTTAATCTTTAAACATAGTTAAAAAAGAATGAAGTGATGATGAACCTATTTTGATGTGACCCCATGATATGAGGTACACAGTGTAAATCAGTATACTGTCAGAGACATTGAATTTAATTACGGTATCCCTGTTTTTGCTTCTTTTATCTTGTAACACTTTATTCATCGTAACTTCATCATGGTGTTCTATATCAGACATATTCGAGGTACATTGTTTGTCAGACTCAGAATTAAAATTAAAACACCAACTCATTTGCATTGATATAACAATAAATTTTTGTTATGGCACTAGCAGTGAGACTGTTCATTTTTAGATGCATTAAACTGAAGTTGTCGCCCTCGGTGGGCAAGTGGTTAGCATGCTCATCACTGGACCCAAGGTTCGTGCGTTCAAACCTGGCTGAAGTCGATGGATTTTTAAGGGTGATTAAAATCTGTAGCACAACTTCCTTCGCAAGGGAGGTAAAGCAGGTAGTCCCATGTTGTAGATTTATGGCATGTAAAAGAACCTTACGGGCATAAACGAGATGTTTCATAAGCAAAATTCTGTGGCCATTTCTCACCCATGTCTCTCTTGACTCTGCTAGGTGGCTCTAGCAGACAAAATCAGGTTTGAGTAGAAATTGTGCAGAGGCAGTGGGCTTGTCACTCACTACTCATAAATGCATGCTTCAATAAAGACGAAACCTCTCACATGGGAGGAGGCCAAGGCTCGGCTTGGGCTGTTGCGCCATAGAGTCAGTCAGTCAGTCATTAAATTGAAGTTGATAGAATCCAAAATGTTAGTTTTACTTCATCATATCTCAGCTGGATTGGACATTTTAGTAATATCATACGGTGAGAAAATGACCTGTTTGTGCATGTTAATTTAAAGTCTCCATGGCTGGATATTGATCCGTTCATTCTGAATAAAGACCAAAAGTTGTTGATAGAATATTATTCTCCTGTATGTTAAGGGTTAATTGAATGATACATTCTTTTATTTTGAAATGTGTCTGTGCATTTATTGCTGTTATACTTCAGTGTCATAACGTCTGTTGTTAAAGTGCATCTGTGAACGCTGCTTGATGTGAAATAATTTTAGTAGTTCATCATTTATGTGGATTAGATTGTGAAGAAGGTCTCACTGCAAAAAGTGTATATGTACATTGTAACTGTAAGTAATTCTATAACTAAATTAAACAATTTAAAGTACTCATGTTGACTGTGTGCAGTGATACGTTCTCTGGCAATCAGCTGTGTCAATATGAAACAGCTCCAAAATTTGGGGACGGCCTCTGTCTGCATTATGAGTGATACAAATTTAGCGATACATATTTCAGTTGGTCTGATAGAATTCAATCTCCATTGGCCAAGGACTAACCAAAGGAAGATCAATGGATTGAGTCAGTCATCCATCTTACAGTTGACCCAGTTCACTGTTGCCTATCCTGGATGTGATGGTACGTGAAGTCAGCATTCGCCCATTTGTCCTAGCTGAAGGTTCAATTCCATATTGGCACAGCCTGAGAAAGACTTTATTGTAATACAAATTGTTAGAAAAAATTTCTGTTTTGAAGAGTGGGCATTGTGAGAAAATAGGACATTATATTCTTACACGTGTGTTACAGGAGTTGCTTCGAATGGGAATCAACGCCTCGCAGTATCGTAGCGTTAGTAACATTCATAGTTCTGTGCTACTACTTTGAGCCTTACATGATACCAATAGTGATGCTCCTCATCTTCCTGAAGTATTATGTAGTAAGTATGAGTTACTCTTCAGTCCGTAGTGTGATGCTGTGAAACATCTGAGTAAGATTTTTCTCATAATTAGTATCGTGTAATAGATGTACTCATAAGGTAGACTGTGCAGTGCCTTGTGAGATTTCAATCTGTCATAGCAGTGAGTATGAAAATTACTTTTGTCTGGAATGTTCCACTTTGTAGTCACATAAAAATTGATCAACATTTCAGAGGTGCTTACTGCCTCGTTGCCCTTATGATGGCGGCAATAAGTAGCTTTGTAGGATTTGAGGTATTCGCAGCGGTAAGTCTGAAGATTGCTGTCATCTGGGTTGTTGCACCGTGTAGTCTGGTAGATGTCCACCAATGTTTCAGAGGTCCATCTACCATACTACACGGCGCAACAACCCAGAAGTCAGCAATCTTCAAGAAGTAGCTTTGAAATATCAGTCAGCTTCTTTGAAACTAACATACCAGAAGACTCCTTGTTGTGCATTGTTTTATGTAACGTATTTAGAAATATTGACTTTGTTATTCCATTAATGGGTAATAAATTCTTTTTTAAATGTCTTGGTTATTTTGATATTAGGATAAAATATTTATTTATGTTACTGAACAGAATGGTTCACTGAAAGTAGTGGTTGGAATTTGTTTACCAAAATGGAAATCAAGGTTCAGAAGTACACAATTTTTCATATAGATGCTATGCTCATAAGTTTTTTTCTAATTATTAACGTGAGCTGTGGCAGCTCATTTAGTAAAGTAATTGGCTGCTGAGTGGATGGCTGAAGTTTTGATTCCCAGCAAAGAAGAGTTCTCACTTCACTGGTAGATATTGACCACCTGTGGAACCTACACAGTCTCTTGGTCAGTGAGTACCTTGATAGATGCTTTCTCCAAGGGATAAAAACCACGAATGTGGAGTTTTGCCTCAGAAGCTTCTGATTGGTGCTTAGTCATAAGATAAATGTTAACATTTGTGCTATGGAATAATTAACACCTTCATGATTTGTCTTGACCTTGAGACTATCTGTTGTGAGGTTTTTATGTTTTTTTCTTTCTTTCTTTCTTAGTCCCACCAGGCAAATGTTGGTGTATAACATTGAATAGACCAAGACCACTTCCTCACTTATCTTTTTTGTTATTTGCTAATCATCTTGTCATTGTACACTATAACATCTTAACAGTTTAAAAAAAGAATAAATGAAAATTCACTGTTGCAGGCATGTGAGATGGTTCTTTGCCCGATGGATGTCTTGTTTTATGTTTATTGGGGAATCTTTTTATTTTGTCAGTTTGTCAGAGTATCAGTGTGAGGTTTATCTTAAGATTAATAAATCAAGTTACTTTTAACTTAAAATTTATGATAAATGTTGAAAATACAGTGCTGCTTATTTATCACAATAGTATTGGCTGGGTGGGATTTAAATATCCGATAACTCTCTATCTATCTATCTCTCTCTGTACTGTACTGTGCATACATCTTAACCTACGTTTTTCTTTCCACAGCTATGGCCAATGGTGTTTGTCTGTTTCGTAACTAATAAACGTGTGTTTCCCAAAAACAGTATATTAAGTGGCCCTCCTGTTGCTCTCAGAATATGTGCACATTCACTGTGTTTTTAAACATGTAGGTGGCTTCCCAGAACAGAACCGAATGTAACTAATAAAATCCTGTAAAGAATTACATTTTTTATAAAGTTTAATCAGGTAAGGATAAAATGGCTACAATGTAGAATGTATCGGCTGCAGCATTATTCACACTAAGTATCACGTCCTGTACAGCAATTTCTTGAATACCGTATTGTGCTTGAATCTGGTCAGCCAGCTATCGGAGGCATTGAACTCACCTTCAAACTTTAAAAACTTGGCTTTCGCTGCACGTATGTGACCAAAGACCGATGTTTGTCTAGCTTTTCTTTATTTCTTACATTTAGTATGCATATTTTTACATATTTGGAGTGAGAAGAAATAAATAAATCAGCTTAATGAAATTTAAATATGTAAATTTGTGTAGTACAAAGGACATATTATTTAAAAAGTTTAATCTAAATATGTATACAGGGATAAAGTATCTAACAATGTTGGAAATGGACTGATACTTGCTATTCATTATTGCAAATGTTGGTCAGTTGCTACATCCAAATCAGTTTCTTTACAAGAAAGTGTTTACAATCTGAAATCATTAGAAATTAAAAACTTAAACTTTTATTTCTGTTGGAAAATCAAATTGCAGTATGTTTTTGATAAGTGATTAGAAAAAGGACACTTCAAACACACTGCGGAAGGAAATTACATTTACAGTTTTTAATTTTGCTTATCTGATAATTATTGTGTGTGCATTCTCAAATACATATTTCTGTCATAGATGTCTATTATATTGAAGATGTTTGAACCACTGCTGTAAAGGAATGACTTTTGGTTATTCACAATTAAGTATCTCAAAATATCAATATTTAAGTGTTCTTAACATGATCCCAGAAAAAGAAATCTATAATTCTCTTACCTCTAGTTCATTTACCTAGATGAATGTCACTTGATAGAATTTCAGTAATTACAATAATTATGTAAATGTTTTTGCTGTAACATGAAAAATTGTTATGTTATGTGTGTTTTGTGAAACTGTGCCTTTGTAAGAGATTTGATGGTTTTACAGCAATGAAGATATGAGTATCTGTCCTGTGAGAACCTCAAGTCTTACATCTGTCTTCTGGTTTGTGATGCTGTGTAGTCTTGTAGGTTGTTACCAACATTTCAGAGGAAAGTATCATTCCCATCTTCAGGGTATACGTTATTTACTTCTGTCTTGTGTCTGTGTATAGTACTTCATAGTGTCACAATCAAGGAGTACAGAGTTTTGATAACTTTCTTCATTGTGTGTAAATATGTGAAGTTCTTTGGGTAAATGAATTTAAAATGTTAACAGAACAGTTTTTAACGTGACTTGTCTTTAAAATCTAAACATTCTTTTTGTCAGTGAAATTAATTTCTAATTCTTACTAGGGATAAACTGTTTAAAAGAGATGTCTCTTGATGTAGTTGTTCAGATCTGGCTTATTCTTAGCTTTGTGTGTGCGCGTGCACATGCACTGGTGTGTGCTTGCATGTATACATTATATTTTATACAAAGTATTTCAAAAGCATAACAAACTTCAAAGGATTCCTTGCTTGTCTGTCCTGTCTTTTTGTTATCGTAATTAAATTTCTTTGTTCATTTGATCTTCTTCTTACCACCATTTATTTAATTTATTTCTTATAATACGTTTTGTTTACAGTTTTACTTTAGTTTGAAATATTGGCAGAACAAAACAAATTTATGGTTTCAGGTTCATGTTTTACACAAGGATAGCATTTCCAACATTATTCACCGTCTTATTTTCAATCTAAACTGTAGATGGAATGGTGGAAAGGTAAGAAGTTATATATTGCAACCTCGAAATAAAAGGGTTTAATCTGACTTAAGCCAAAAATGAGATTTGTATATAAAATTGTTGTAATGTCATAATAGATTATTAACCAGCATGTTGTGCCTGGATGTTGATATAAGATGATATGATAATTTGAATTTTAAAGGTAAATTTGTGTTGATCAGATGTATTATGAATTTGGCATTGATTTTGCAGTTTTAGTAATCTATATGTAGCAGACGAGAATAAGCGAAGTTGTCTCTCTCTCATAAGTTACTACATAGGTAACCAACTTCTTGTGGAATGGACAGTGAGTGATATGCAATACCAACTACAAAAATTACTGATAGTTACACTTATGTAGAATTCATACTAGGCAGGAAGGTCTATATGAAAACTACTTGGATTTTTTATTTTGATAGAGGAAGTTTATGTTGAAAATTGTTGTGGGGCAGTGGATAAATGTAAAAAACTTTCCTTGCAAATACTTGTCTTCCTTCTGTTGTTCAATGAGGGAAAGTAAGGAGAAAAAGACCCGTAGAGTAATGTTTCAGTTAATATAAAATAATGATATTAATGAAAGTGTGGTTTTGTTTATTTATTTATAGTTTATTTAATGGTGTGTTTTCAGTTACTGAGACTGTATAGTGTCAAATGAGAGGATTATAGTGAATAATGAATTGGAAAGTATGTGGAAGGAAGCAGTTGTAGCCTAATTTAAGGTACTATACTGGCATTTGTCTTCAGGGACTGAGTAAAACCACAAAAACCTCAATCAGGTTAGCCTGTCTTCGGGCCTAGACTTGAACCTGGCGCCTCCTGATTATGAAGCAGCAATGGAAGGAAATCACTGAGTAACATATCACATTTGAAATTATGAAAAAGTAAACATATGATTTGACTAATACGAGGTTCAGACAGATGAAGCTCTGATTAGGCAAAAGGCTGCTGGATTAATATTTATATTAAACCACATGAGTGAAAATTTGACCTACCATTGCACAGGTAAATTAATAACATCAGATTAAATTTGGGTAACACTTGCTAGCATTCAGTTCAGAATCTTTTATTTTCCTGTTTTCTGTTTAGAAGTGCAAATATTTAAACGTGTAAAACTATAATTTACCACTGAACATAATAGTTGAATGGTTAGCTCTCCTGCATGTATTTGGGAGGTCCTGGGTTAAAATCTTTGCTCAGAGAGTGGCATTTTTTATATTTTTCTTAGTCTGGCCAGGCTAATGCCATGAGAGTACCTTAAATTGGGCCACAATCACTTCCTTCCAAATCCTTTCAAATTCATTACTCACTGTCATCCTCTCCGCTGACATTATATAGATACTTTGAGCATCAGTAAATAAATATAATTTTACCAGTTTTGTTATATGGTTGTGAAACTTTTTCTAGCCATAAGGGAAGGACAGATAGAAGTTACAGAAGGCAATATATATAATGAACATAATTTTTATTCATTACCAGTTACTGTTAGTGTCAGCAGATTGATATTTATGAGATGACGAGGCATGTAACATGCATGGAACAGATGAAGAACGCAAACAAAGTTGTAATCAGAAAACCTGAAAGGGTGCACTTTAAGGTGTAGTTATAAATAAGTGGATAATAGTAATATTTATTTTAAAATAAATATGAAGTGGGTTTGTTTACTGGATTCATCTGACAGGATAAGGATCATTGTTTACTGTTGTGAACATGGTAAACAACATCAAGGTTCCATAAAATGTAGTGAATTTTATGACTGACCAAGTGACTATTAGCTTCTCAAAAAGCATTATTCTGTATGGACATAATTGTGCTTTCCTGCTTTCAGTTTGTGATTTAAAAAATGAATGGCCGATAGGTGGGGGGAGGGGGGCAGACTACCATAAAGCTTGCCGTCAGTGGAGGGAATTTATGTAGCAACATTTGAAGAAAAGGATTCTGTTTGAGAAAGGCATAAGGAAATTCCATATTCTAAAACTTATATTCACCAGGCACAGGTTTTTTACCATAATAAAAGACTTATTGAAGAAATTTGAAATTCAGTTGAAGACATTTTCTTGCTTTAAGGTAATCTGAATATAAATTTGAAAATTTACTAGATTGGTGTATTATCCTCAATAAAATTCCATTGTAGGTTACATGATGTGTACATGCCAGAAGACCACAGTCAACATTTTGTTTACTATACTTATACTATTTATTTCAGTTTATAAGAAAACAATATTATAAAATAATTGTAGTTTATAGACCCAGCAAAATGCTATGCTAAACAGTAGTACATCTTTCTTGATTAAACCCTTCTATTTTGATGTAACAATATGCCAAGTCAAAGTTATATTTTGTTTGTTATTTTTTTCTGTTATCCCTTCATATATAATTAAACTTTTTAATAGCTGAGGCAGACAAAATAGTAGTGTTTTCATGTAATTAGAGCAGCTGGACTATTGACAGCTATTTCTTCTTACTCCATTTTAACATCTAAATGACTTTCTGATATATGAAGACCATCCTGCTTTGCTTCATAAGTTGGTTCACTTATTTCAGTCATACACCTGTTTAAAAAAAAGATTTGACAGTAGAAGTTTAAATATGTACAAAATATATTTCATTTCTCTACATGCATTGTTATGCTAGAAGTTGATGCTCTTGAGGCCACAGTGATCTCCGTGTTCTGTAAGAGAGTCAACATGACCTTTCCAACTTATAATCCTACAATTTATTTTGTTTGCTTTGGCAAAGGAAGATAACCCCACTCTTTGATAGCCCATTTGGTTTCAGGCTGGAGTACTGCATTCACGATTCATTCAAGAAAGTCAGTGACTTCCACTTCATAATGGGCCATGTTTTGAGAAGAAAAATTTTCATTTTATATTACATTTCATTCATTGTACACTGTTTAAACTAGACTTTATGAAACTGAACAAATATGTCATGTACACAAGTTTCATAAAGGGGAAGTATAAAAATAAAATAACTTGTGACTTGAAAGTGTGTCACAGTAAATCATTTGTTTTTATCTGAATTGCCCTTATATATAAAAATAAACTTATAAATGTGAATACAAAAGAAGTCATTGAGAATAAGATGCAAAAGGAATATAAACTGACATTCTCTTCAAATTATTGTCTGATTAAAGAGTTTATATTATGATTGTGAGGTTAGAATCGTGGCAGGAAAATAAATGTGTATGTATTTTCTAACATAATGGATGTCTTTTCTGACCATAAATTAAGTAACAATACAAAAATATGGTGCCAGGAAAACAAAAAGCTATATCATTAAATGAATCTTTTCTTAGTATGATTTAAAGTATTTTATACAAATGAAACTTTTAGGTTACTCTTTGTCATTTGTTTGGTAAAAAGTGCAAAGGTAAAAATTGAAAAAGTCGGCTGGTAACATTGAGACCAGTGGGATTGTCATGTTTAGTGCAATGAATAAGCATTGACACGAGTTTGTCATAATATTCCAAATATTTAACAGTTTTGACACTTGACTGCATAACAAATTCAGCAAAACCCAGTGAACAAATAGCAACTCCAACTTATTATTCTGAAATTCTGTTTATAGAGAGGTGCAGTATAATTATACTGGCATCTTTTCCCTGCACAGGATGAAAACAGAAAAGTTGTTAACTGAGGAGGGGAAGGGGTTCACATTACATGTACATTAGCGATTCCCCTGTACTTTTGGTACAGAATTTTTACAAATGTCAGAGTAATTAAGCTCCATTTCAGTGTTTGCACATCTTTCCTTCTTACTGAATAAACTGAGAACCTAAATATGTTTTTTTTATTTCATTAGTTGTACCTTTTTTATCTTTTGTAGCATCTACATAAAAAAAAAATTAAATTCAATGTGGCTTGCAGCCAGGACAGATTTTTGTTAGAGAATGAATTCTATTCTTCGAGTCACAATAATTTGTTTATAGATGTACGACTCAAACGGAAATGGAAGGGAACGTTCTGTTTGCTTGACGACCATACATTGTGCCAAGAATCATTGATAAGGCATCGCTATTTATGTAGAACAAATTATCATAAATTATTATAAAAACATTGAATGAAAATACTTATTATTACTGAAGGAGAACTCTAAAGGTTTTCCAAATATGAGTCAAGTATAACTCCATAAAACAATAAAATAAACTCGGTTTCTGCCACGAGCCATGAAGTGACAGTTGTGTTTAACTTTATTGGTGAACATACTTTATATATCCTGCCTTTAAAAGATTATTAGACAATGGACAAAGTTCAGAAACTCTGTAATACTAAGAAACAATTTAAATAACTTTTACGCAATTTTGGAAATAATTTACCTTGGTCATGATCAGGTTTCTCAGGATAGTGTTTCTAACATGTTATAAAAGAAAAATTTGTCAGTAAAAATTCGAATTCTCTACGTTTCACATTTTGTACTAATCATTTTGTTTTGACAGGTTTTGTCACTGACAGGTGGCTGGACCATTCATGATGAAGAAGAAGAGCCTCTTGGAGATGAAGATGATGATGAGGAGGATAAAGATAAGGTACACAATACATAGTTCTAACCCTTTAAAGCACAGTGGTAACTGGATGCACCACCTGCTTTAACATTTAATAACTCTGCAGTTTTTCCATAGAATTTACTTAAGGCTTTATTGCAGTTTTCAGAATAAATGATAGTTATTTCCCTGAACAGCATTAGCCATTTAATCTTTATAATTAGGATGCATTGTGTTTTGATTGCGGTAGGATCTGGATTACTAACTGTTATTTAGATTAACTTTGTTCTTAAATAGGTTAACCACTGCTTAAAGTGTCATTTCTGGAGTTATTAATATTGCATGGATCAAGTGATTATTGATTTTTAAGGTATTTAATTATGCTGTTTGAATCTCATATTGATGAGCAGATGAAGATTTGGAAGGAGGCTACGGTGGCCTAATTTAACCTTTTATTGTATGGGACTTTGGGAAGTGTCAATATTTTACTGCAAGACACACAATAAAAAGCCATATTTATACCCAGATAAGTGCTTTGAACTGTACTACAAAGTCAAAAGCTTCTGAAGAATTTCTAAACATATGCATTTGTAAATGTATGGCGTGTCTTCAGGTTATAAATTCAGGTGAAGCTGTGAATATACTGGATGCCCGTAAATTAGCAGATGATCATGAGCGAACATCAACAACCACATGTGGAAAAACTTTAATGTCATGTAACTGTTTTATAGTATGTAAGTTTTTCATTTTTATTTATTCAGTGTTCTGTCTTACGACAGGTTCATTGCTCTGCCCAAACAGAGCTCTCCAGTTTCCCCTATTCTCGGCTTCTCGTTTTAATTCCTGGAACGTCATCTTCTTTCCTTGTTTAAGATCGTCGGTTAGCTGTATCAATCTTCTTCCTAGTCCTCTCTTTCCTTCAACATGGCCTTCGGTGATATCACTCAGTAATCCATTCCTTCTCATAATATGTCCCAGCCAGTTAGCTTTCCTTCGTGTAATCGCCTGCAGAATGTTTCTTTGCTAAGTTTTTCATATGAGTTATAAATAAATAGTTATGTTTTTCAAATCACCAGCTAATTTATGGGCACCAGAATTGAATAGACAGTTGTGGACAGCCAACATTAGTGTGGTCCTCCAATTTGGGGGTTGGTTGAGGAGCTAACAACTCCTCACTGTAAAAAATTCAGCATGCCATGAAATGTCATACAAGACCTCAGAATAGGGATAGGTGGCAGGCTTTTGTGAACACAGTAATGAACCTTCAGGTTTTATAAAAGGTAAGAAACTTCTTGATTAGCTGAACTCTTAGCTTCTCAAGGAATACTGTGCTGTGTGAAGTAAGTTAGGTGAGTGCTTTGAGACATGTTTTTGCAAGTAAAAATTTGCATTAAAATATTTGCATCATGTTATAACTCAGTTTTCTGCTTGTGATTGAGTGTCTATACAAGGTAAAACTCAACTATCATAACTTATCCTCCATCCATCAAATGGCTCTACAGCCCATATCAGGCCTTGGCCTCCTGAATTTTCTGTCTGCATGAAGATCTATTATTTGTGGCCATTTTCCAATTTCGACATTGGATCAGACCGGCAGCATCCCGTCTCACAGCACCTTCCCACCTTCCTCTAGGTCTTCCCACCATTCTTGTCCCTTCAGACTTAGCATTTAGGACTTTCTTAAGAGTTCTTGTGCCATCCATCCTTTGAATATGCCCCGCCCATTGCAGTCTTTTTAATTTAATGCACATTACAAGATCAGGGTCTTTATATAGCGCGTATAACTCCTGGTTATATCTTACCCTCCACTGGTCATTGTCTTTAACTGGGCCACAAATCCTTCTTAGTATTTTCCTTGCAAACACTCTCAGGGCATTTTCTGATTTATGGGACAGCACAACTTATCCTCTGTTTTCAATAATGTTTTGCATGTTTATTAATAATAATATTGGTCTTTGCAAAAAGTGGTCTGCTTACAGATAAGAAAGATTGTGTGGGAGGGGTTAAATGCCAGAAAAAGTTGTTAAAGTGGGTACTTCCCAATTACAAGTTACATCTACACCAGTTTGCTCAGCAGGAGAAAGGGGGGGGGGGAGAGAGAGAAAGATAAATTGGTTTGCTGCAACAGAATTCAGTCTTCAACTGTCACAGTATAGAGAATAATAAATGCAAAACTCATAATACAGACACTTTTGTTTCTGTTGCAAACGTTGAGAAAAATTTATTGATACTGTATAACTATTTTTTTAACATTTGTGTTTACACGTTATTTGTTTATCCCTGTGCCATGAAATTTAATAAGAACAGAATCTTAAATGAGCCTTCTTAGAATAGTGAAAGGCAAAAGGGCTTTACAACTGTTTTGTCTTGCTGACATTTTATGAGGCATTGCAGTGTGTGATTAAGGAAGTCTTAAGAAGTTAAAAAAATTGGTATTATTTGTTTTATTTATCATGTAAAGAACCCTTGAATACTGTAGAAAATGAATCAGTTAGGAGCTTAATAATTTGTACTCTTGAGAGACATCGTGACTCTATACTGAATAGCAACCAATTCCTCTCTTTGTCCAACCACAACTTCACCTCCCTTCACCACCCATTTTCTGATCTATATAAGGGAATTCATCCCCCCCCCCCCCCAATATCATTTTTAAGTTAAAAACTGTATTATTGACCAAAGAATTACAAAAACTCTGCAGTTTATTCCCAAAAGTTGAATGTTTCATATTAAACTCTAACCATGAAAACCTAAGAACAAGAATTACTTCCATGTTAATTAACTAAGTTGTTTTAAAATAAGTAGAATTTGAGGTTCTTGTGGTAATGAGGATGAAGATGGTAGTCTTCTTTGTTGTAAAATGTCATATGGTTGCAGGAAGAAAAGAAAAGTTTAAAGGAACGCCTTCAAGCCATACAAGAAGTGACGCAAAGTGTTCAAAATTCAATTGGCTTTATTGCATCCCTTGGAGAAAGTATAAAAAAGTAAGTATGTGTCATATTTACAGTATTTTTAGCTTCACTGACATCTTTTGTCTAGCATTTTGTGTGACATATCATGTACACGTTCTTCTTCGATAATAACTTGTTGCTTTCAACAGCTGGCGTATCGTTATTTGATTTAAATCATTATAGAGTATGTGAACTATGCTGAATAAGTTTTATAAGTTGTCAGTAGGCATTACAGAAGTGTTGTAACCTGTGCAGCAGCCGTAGCTTAAAGAAAACACAGGCATCTTAAAATTGAAGCACATTTCTTGGTCTAAATTATTGTAATATTTGTAGATTTATACAGTTCAGCCTTAGTATAAAGAGAATTTATAAAATTTTAAAAAATGCTTATTCTAACAGCTACTTATAATATCCTAAAATTATTGAAATACATAATCTTTGAGCTAGTCTTCTGACTGCTAATAAAATTTGAAGAATAATATGGGCAGGGCAGTATTTTTTTTTTAAGTTAGTATCATGGAGATATGAAAATGATACTTCAATATTATTGGCATCTTTAGTAATACCTAAAGTGAGAAGTTGATGACTCGTGCACTGATCCATATACCATTCCTGACATTGACCGTAATTATGGTAACTGTAATGTCTGCAACTCACATTCAAGAGTTGCTAACTTGTCAGTTAAATTATATCAGTGCGATATTTAACCGTTTGATGATGTAGGACATTTAAAATAAACCTTGCTGTGCTAATAAAAACTATTGTGAAATTTAAAAAAAATGCAAAATTTCAGTTCAGTATGGATCTCACTGTAGCAGAATCTCATATCTCACAATGGGAAGTTTAAAAAATGTAGTGTGAAACATTTTTATACACAAAAGATTAATAAGCTGTCACTCCGGATGATGTGTGAAGCACTTTTATAAAAACAAAATTGAGGTTTACAGTCAAGCACAGAATGTATTTTGTGCACTGAGTAGAAGTAATATGTTTTGACTGCAGTGCTGTGCGGATGCAAAGGAAATTTATAACATCAGACTCAAAGCAGGAAGAAGCTGTTTCTTTCTTCGTCCACGACCATTAAGTGTGTACTAATAAGCGAACAAATAATGCTTCAGATAGGCACATAAATATACTAGGAGCAAGGATAAGGCCTTATCTGTGACACTACTTTATTAGTCTGAATGGCAGTAGTGATATTTGTGCAAGAATGGGTTAAGTGAGATTCTGTGTAGGTTAGTACAGTGGACACAAAATAATTAATTCTGAGATTGGATGACCATTACAAATACACGAGGCGGGGGCACAAAGCAATAGCATGTATGGACAGATATCCCAGTCCATCCTTGTATACTACTGTGAAATTATTATATTTTGACTGTAGAAGTAGTGTGTGTGTTAAGGTGTGTGCCTGTATTGTAAGTTTTTCATAGTTCCTTTAGGTAACAGAATACAGTATATTGTAAAAGTCAGTATTAAAATGCCACTGATTGTGTCAAAGTTACAAGGGGAAATAATTGTTTTCAGTTACACTATACATGCTCGGAATCTTTGACATGCTCCCCTCCGTGCCCTTTCCAGCTTCCCTTCCCCTCTTAATGTGTTGGAGCCCAAGATCAGAATTATTTTGCATCTGCTGTATCTCTTACTGAGGCCAGCATCAAATATAAACTGGGCTGTGACGATACTCGTACTTAGGAAACTGTTGTTTTTGGAGTGACAAACATTGTATATGTGTTGGTCACTGTGATTGAACTTCATTTAATATGAATTACCCCTGTAACAGTGAAAGGTCTGTTTTTCTTCGCAGTACATTCAACTTCACCGTGCCGTACCTCAGCACTTTGGCAATCCTCATGCTGATAGCTGGGGCTGTTGTGCTGTATCTGGTGTCTGTCCGTTACCTCATCATGGCATGGGGGGTGAACAAGTTTGCTCGCAAACTTATTCGCCCACACACTGTCCCCAATAATGAAATACTGGATCTTCTCTCCAGGGTACCAGATGATGAAGATTTGGTATGTGTAAATTTATAATGTATATTTATGAACGATTGACTGTTATGAAAATGTAACATCACTCCTATGTTCAACTTAAATTATATAAGAACAATTTTGTTTACAACTTCTTATTGTTTGTTATCTTTATTTTAATTCTGTGCTATCCACCTTCCAAAAATAAATGTGTAAAAAACACTACTTTTTATGGACATGAAACTGATCTCTCCCTCAGAGATGAAGAAAGTGACGCAGATGAAGGATAACAAACTGTTTAGAAGAAATTTTGTTCCAAGAGGAGTTAAACAGGCAATGAAGAAAATGATATAATAGCTCTTCACGTAGGGAAACTAAATGATAAAAGGTGACTTAGAAGACCATGGTTTATAAAGTATTGGAAATCAGCTTTATGTAGCTGTTCATTGACTTGCCATCACCGGATGCCACTTCTGCCAGTCTTAACACTTCACATGCTTCTGTTCGTGTGCTAGTCATGGTTGGCGGAGTGCCTTCTTTCTGCAGCTTCCTTGGTTATCCTCTTCACTGATTATCTTATGAAATCCAATTCTGCTCTCTTCTTCTGTTCATGTTACCATTCCAGTTCTTTCCATTCCATTGTATTGCTTCTTCATCAGCCATTCTTCTTATCATGTCATTTCATATTTTATCCATTCTTAACAAAATTGTGTTGATGTAAGTTCTGTGATGGACCTCCAATGCATTGATACTTGGTTTTGTCAATGTTAATGTTAAGCCCCCATTTCATGTATTCAAGGTCTTCTGTATTCTGTGCTGTTAACACCTGGTCATTGGAAAATTGTAGCATGTATAAGTTTTTGTTATTCACTTCCATTCCCACAACATTTCCTATTCCATTTTCTTAAAGCTTGTTCTTTGTAGATTTTAAATAATGCATTTGTTGCATTGAAATCCTTGTGATAGGTATTTTCCTATTTGCACTTTTGATATTGAGTTGTTATATAGTTCTTTAATTGCTATGACAACGGTATGATTAATGCCATATTCTTGTAGTGTCGGCCACAGTTTGGCGGTAGGTATGTTATATGTTTTTGCTAAATCTATGAAAAGCAGATGTAGTTCTCTTGCTGCTTGTCTCTTAAATTATCTGTGGTTGACTGCCCCACTGTTCTGCTTCATTCCTTTTGTATTCTTCTTCTATTTTGTCCCTTATTATTCTGCCAAAGAGTCTGTTAACTGTTGATGTCACTGTTATTCCACTGTAATTCTTGCATTTCTGCTGGTCTACCTTTTTATATACCGAGAATATCCATCCAGTCTTCCATTCTTGAGGTATCTGCTCTCCATTTACGTATTTAGTAAACATTTTAGTTATTATTCTAAATAGTCTTTGAGTTACATTCTTTATCAGCTCCACACTAATTCCCTCTGGACCTGCGGCTTTCCCAACTTTTAGTGATTTTATGTTTTTTTATTATTGTGTCTATTTTGAGTTTTATATATTCTCCTTCAATTATTATTATGTTCTGTTCTCTTTTTTTAAATTCTGTCCGGTGTTCAATGGGGAGATTTTTGTAGTATTCATCCTATCTTGATACTGGGATGTTACTACAAAATACCACCATATAAAGGTGCTGTGTATAAGAACTGAAATTAATAAAGATGAAGATGTATAAAGGAAATCCACCACAGGTGGTGTCTGATGACAAACATGTCAAATTATTGGTAGGAATGAAACAATTCAGGATAATACCCACAAAATTCTAGCTGCTGTGAGTTAACTCAGGGCAGCATTTTAAACCAAAGTTAATTTAGGATAACAGGGAAAATGGTTAACTAAAGCTACAATCCGATGTTGCACTGATCATTTTTTGTTACTGGGAATTACATGAACACGTGAATAAGTTTTGACTCTTGGTGAAAGATCCTGTGTTACTTCATTGCAGGATGATTGTTCACGTTGTGATTTTTTCTTAGGTTATTTAACAGTGCTGTTTGAGACGTCAGTAATGTTGAATGTTGAGCAGAAAAGTATTTGGAAAGTGGTAGTCATTGCCTATTTGAGGGTACCAATACCATTTTAACATTTGACTGTATATAATACCTCGGTCAGGAAAACCAGTAACGCTGTCAAGACTGGGTTCCTCCCAGATACAAGTTCCTGCTACACCAACCTGCTTATTGGTCATTTGTGTGAATCACTTTTGATAGATTGTATTTATTTTTCAGTTAGCCTTCAGAGAACTGAAACCTCACCCAACAACAGACGTTGATCGAAGGCGTGACCAGAAGAAAAAACACAAAATGTCCTAGTGAAGGGGGACATAGTCTTTAAGAATTGATTTGAGGTAGCTGAAGATCAGTTGAGAAGCTACAAGCTGTCTGCGAGGTGGTAACAGTGAAGTCTAGTGGTCGAGCACCGTGTTGCTCACAAAAGTGGTTCAACAGTCTGTCAAGGAAAATGTTGCTTCCCTTCTAGTCATCACGTGGAGAAAGTTCTGTTTCCTGAATTAAACAGGTTTGACCATTATCTTGTATACTTTCCAGTGGGATAGTTGAGTCCATGATTTTATATTGTTGACATATGAGTAGAACCAAAGTGCATGTTGGTAAGTTCAGATTAAGTTACACCAGCATTTGTTGTCTTTCTTAAATGAGAATGCAGAAAAGATATCCTGCTGTAAAAATCAGAGTAATGTGTTAATATATGACTGCATGATGATCTCTGTATTATAAATAATTATGTCTCTTGTACAGTAAGTGGGAGGGCCATGCTTACTGTTTTTTTGGTGGATGACATTGTTGATTTCTGTACTTCCATTTCTATAACTTGTTAAATATGTACAGGAAAAACACTGTTATCCTACTTTACTTCTTTGAGTGTATTTTAACCTTAAATCTGATGTATGTACTTAAGTCTAGCAATGGTGCTGAGCAGTATTTTGTAAGCTCGTTGTTTTATATCTTGAGTCTTCTTATTGATGAAAATTATTCTTCCTATCTTACGGTATTGCTGTGTTCTCTCCCCGTGGTAAAAAATTTCATCATGATTTAAAAGCAGTACATTATGCATATACAGTATCAAGAGTTTCCCCATATTGAAGATTGCTGTCTTCTGGGTTGTTGCGCCATGTAGTCTGGTAGATGTCCGCCAACGTTTCAGAGGGTCATGCTGGCGCAACAACCCAGAAGACAGCAATCTTCAGACTCACCGCTGGGAAAACCTCAAATCTTACATTTCCCCATTTTATTAAAACATATGACATTTCATAATATAAAAATTCTTGTACTCAAACTTTGATGTGCACAATTTTGCACAATACGCATTCAGAGTAACATGAATGCGTGGCTCTGCAGTCAAACAACTGAAGCAGAAAACTGTGAACACCATTTTCTCTTATTGTTAAATATTCAGAGAAATTTGCTATCTGTAGTTCTTATGTGTCTTCCTATCTCATCGATGTTCACGAGAAGTCCTCAGTCATCACTATACATGAAAATCTTAACTGTGTGCGCATGTGTGTGAATGTTTGTGTATGGGCATGCACTGTCCTGAAACTCCTACATTTGAAGTTTATTTTTATACATGAAATATTTGTTCTAATTTCTGTAAGTAAATTTAAATTTTTAGGATATAAGGAAGATTAGAAGATGGAACAGAGGCAGGCATTTGACTCAGTGGAGGATGAAGCAAGCAAATCCCTTTGTAAATTAATTTGTCTAGGTGTCAGTAAATTGTAACATGGCATAAGTTTTAAATTTTGTGATGGCTCATGATCTATAGAAATGAATATACTATGTGTGTGGAAGGTGTTGCTTTTACCCGTTTAAGATGAAGATTCGCTAGCATTTATACATTCATAAATTAGAAGAATCTTCTCATCACAAGGGTTTACTCAGGTACTTCTTGCATTTAAGATAATTGAAGATGAGTAGTTAGTATATGTTGCTCTCAAAAATAATTAATGTTATAATTTTAAACATTTTATTTTGTGACATAAAGAAAAGAGAAAGTTTATTATTCATTGTACATAGTTACGCAACATTACAATGGGTATGAGTTTAATGCTACTATTGTAATAAATTAAAATTTGATAGCCCTGTTTATTTTTACTGTATATAATTGTATGTCACATGTATGGTACCAAATATGAATCTGAAGGTTTATTTCTTATTACCAGCTGCAATAATTGTAATTTTGGTTTTGTGAGTAATGTACAGGTCTCTACCAGACAAATCAGACTGTCCCTACAGTAGTGCAGTAATTGGCTTAGTTTCAGTTATCCACTTTTTCCTGCCATTTATGTTGGTATTTTCTCTTCGTAACTTGCTAAGATTTTTACTTCATATTTTTGTAGAATTAGATGGCCAGCATGCTCTTCACTTCCATACATCTGCGTGGCTCCATTTCCTGACATCCAGTTTGTCACGTGGTTTTGTACACAAATTTCAACATTGACAACATCCTAATTTGCAAAATAAATATTCTGATACTTTTCTTCTCGTAGATCTGTAAATAATTCTGTATAATAATCAGTGCTAATGAAAATATGTTATAAATATTGGGCAAAATCCTAAAGGGGGTGGAGACTGCATTTAAAAAAAGTTAATATGGTGACATGAAAATAATTATGTCGTAGCAAAACAATCTTCAGTAGCCAGTGTTTATTTTGGTGATAAAAGTTATAATATTTGATCACTGTGTAATCTGTCAACATAAAACTTTATATTTAGAAATATTAGTACATAAACAACTTGTGAAGATTGAATATGATTTGAGAAATTCAGTGATATACAACAGGGAAAATATTATAAAAACAGATGAGGGTACAGTGATTATATTGTTTGTCTTATGGTTATGGTTAGGGTTAATAATGCCTAGCTACTGTGCTGGAAGCTGTACCCATTACATATTAAATAGAAGTATGCTTACAATCTTTGTGTCCGTGTTCCAGGATCAAAAATAAGAAAAATGTTCCTATTAACATGGGTTCGCAAATGCTTCTTTTTCGAAATAATAGCCAAAAATAATTTTTAATGTATGCCTTTATTACCAGGTATGCGGACAGGGATGTTTCATTGTAACAGATGCTCAAAGGTTACTCCTCCATTCTCCACACATGCACAAGCACGACGTACACAAGACTGACGAATTCGTTGGTACACACCACGGTTACTTCGAATCATCTGGAATGCAATCTGCACACGTTCGTATCATTGTTTATGGGTGTTGCATAAACGACGGACTTCAAATGACCCCACAGATAAAAGACCAATGGAATCAGGTCCGGTGACCTCGGTGGCCATGCTACTGGGCCACCACGTCCAATCCATCGCTGAGGGTACTGTTCATTGAGATGGTCTCTGACGCGGCGGGAGAAGTGTGCTGGGGCTCTGTCGTGCATAAACCACATTTGTCTTCTTGTATTCAGTGGTACAACTTCAAGGATACATGGCAAGTGTCTTCTTAAGAATCGTCGATATGAAGGTCATCTTAGACATAATGGAAGCATGTGTAGAACAATAAGCATGTCGCCAACAATTCCTGCCCAAACGTTAATTGAAAATCTTTACTGGAATCTGGATTCACTTTGACATAACGTCATTCATTGAAACTTATTTTTGCTATTATTTCGAAAATGAAACATTTGCGACCCCATGTTCATGGGAACATTTTTTCTTATTTTTGATCCTGGAACTCGCACACGAAGTATGTAAATACTTCTGACTCATCCTGTATAAAAATGAAATTTTAACAAGACACATCATTCAACAAAATAATTAATTTCTTGTTCTCCTTCAAGGGTAATGTATGTGTATTCATAGCTAATTTTTTTAAAGTTTCATCAGCCTTATTTTCAATTATAGACAATGATTTTATACTATTTGCCACCTCGTTTATGGATTGTATTTCTTCTCCCATTAAGGGTACACAGCAAAATGTTACTACTACATATAGGGTTTTAATATTATTATTTGGTTTTCAGGAAACCATTGTTATGGTGTTTTACTGCACAATAAAGTCTTCTTGGGTGATCAGCCATGTAAAAATAGAGTTACACAATCTGATATTTTGGAGAGACTCTGTCTTCATCATCAGGGTAAATGTGATGAATGGCATGACTGCCTGTTATATTTGTACATTTGATGGTATTTTACTGTACTTCAGCTCTGTGATATG